CGGAAAATCAACTAACGAACGGAGACGTAACAGTTAGATAATCAACTTTTAAGCAGGTCATGGACATTGCAGCACTTCATATGATATATCTGTCTAGGTTTTAGTGCAAAATACCCATCCAATTTTGCTGCAGGCTTGTGAAACAATAATAATAATATGAACAAACAAGCAATCATGAAATCACTTATTTTGCTTATTATCAATGTTTGAGTGGTCTTAATTATTTAAAAGGAAGGTTTTGAGTGTTGTTTCAAAAATAAGTCTGCTTTTTAAGGTGGTTTTTTTTCCCCAAGTGTTCTATCAGAGTTTTGAGGAAATTACTGTGCGATTCCTATTATGAATAACTATTGTAGTTCGTGATACAAACCTTTGGAATATTTACTTAATTCATTTTATAACTTTTTTCAAACTAATTCTAATGAAGCATTCACTATTTTTGGACAACTAAAATAATTGTTGTTTATTTTAAAATCGCAGACTATAGTTTACTTTTTTGTTACACTACTGTGCATACAGATAATATGATTTACCTAATTTACTGTGTATTATGTGGTCTAGAAATTCTTTAACAACAGCATAAATCAATAAATTTGAAATGTAAGTTATCACTATGCCCCGTAATGCTTAGTATGTAAGGATGGGCCGGGAGAAAATATGACCGACGAATATTATGTATTGCTCATCATAGTCTCAAATATCTTTTATAATAATATAAGAGAATTTTATAAACATCTAACTTAGGCTTTCGAGGTTTTCATTGCTATTACGACCTCCAGTTTAGCCAAAAAAAAACGTCGCTAAACTAGAGAACCAGCGAGGAGCGTAACAGTCAAATATTCTGCTAAATATTGTGATTCTGGCGTTAGAAGGGCTAGACCACCAATGCTTAAAGTTGTTGCGATGACTTAGACACCAGAATGTTGTATTTGAACTTTGGGAGTGCAGAAGCAGTAAAGCGTTTCACTAGCTTCAACACATGATGTCCATCAAGATAACTCATCACGCCAGGCTAAAACTGCTGCCTTCATAGCGACTGTCATTCATTATAAAACATTCATTGGTGTCGTTTAAAAATTAGGGGAAACAAGTGCAAAAATGTAAATAAGGATCATGTAGGGATGAAAATGTTAAAAAGAACAGAAATAAGGTGGGGATGAATACACAAAACCATACAAAAATCACTACATAAGTCGTCACTCAGTCAATGTTACAAGCTTATAGGAATTGTCCATTGTAAGACTTTATATTTTAAATACTTTTATTCAAACCTGAATTCATGCAAGTGAAAATAATTCAACATTTAGTTGTAAATAAAAGTTATTCTTGGAAATATTTGGTTATTTATGTAGTGGTTTTTGTATGGTTCAGTGTATTCATCACTACCTTGCTTCTGTACTTTTTAACATTGTCATCCCTACATCATCCTTATTTTTTTCAAAATATTTTTTACTTGTATATACTGCTGCGTCAGCGAGGTCACGTGACTAGTATCACGCCACTTCTTTCTGGAACCTTCGTGAATTGTCGGGAGATTACTAGATTGGGGTAGGCAGGTATATATAAGATGGTCACAACGTGGTGACGGGACCAACGTGTAGGT